CGGATCTTGGTGCCCTGTCTGGGTCTGCTTGGGATTCGGTGTCTGGCCTACCTCGACGACTGGCTGGTGTGAGCTCCCAGTCAGTCCTGTTGTCTGCTCGCCAGGGGTGTGGTTCTTTCCAGATCGTCGGGTTTGGTTTCCTGGTGATCTGGAGGCCATTCCATCTGTTTCCGTCCCGGGTTCGGACCTGGGCCTTGATTAGGGCTATTGGGGCACTCCTTGTCTTTCCCTCCAGAAGTGTTACTGCGGCTGTGGTCCCGCCTTCGGCTGTGAATGAGGGGGTCCCGGGTTGCTCGAGCGGTTGTGTGAAAGTCTGAACTTCGACGTGCTGCTCTGCCCGCGGGGTCGGGTTTGGCTTCGGTGTCTGTTTGGTTCCTTCGGAGACTCCTCTTCCGCCTCTTGCAATCATTGGGTTCCTTCCTCCGGGGATCTTGTGTTGGTGCTGCATCACCAGCTTCCTCTTTGGGGTTTTTGGAGTTCCATGCCTTGGCACCTCCCCGAGCCTTCGCTCGATGTGTTCACGGACGGGTCATCTCTCGGCTGGGGCTTTGTGACCAGTGCTCACCAGGTTGGCCGGGGATGGTGGAGTCTGTCCGTTCGTCAGGCTCACTGTACGGTTCGGGAGTTTGTGGCTGTCTGGTTTGCGCTTCGGAGGGTTTGGGTCACTCAGTGCTCTACCATTCAGCTCCATTCGGACTGTTCTCTGGAGGTTCTTGCCGGAACCACAGGGTTTCTCTTAGGTGTTGACCTTTGGGGTTGGTTCCTTGGTGTGGCTCGTTTGCTGGATTCTCGGGGTTTGGCTAACCGTGAGTTTCATGTCCGGGGTGTGTCCTGTGTCCTGGCGGACAGCTGTCTCAGTTTATTTCTCTGTTCGCGGATTGGCCAGTCGTTGCCAACTCATTTCGTTGGCTCTGCTGGGAGAATAGACTCCTGGCCATGGACGTTCTTCGAGTCGGCGTGGTTTAGGCGTCACCCATTTTATGTGGCGCCCTTACCTGCCTGTGAGGCGTTCACGTTGGATGCTTTTTGGCAGGACTGTTTTTGTTTCGTACGCTTTCTCGTGTTTTGTTTCACCTCCGGCCTGCTCATGCTTCGCCTGTGCCGTCTTGGTCCTTGATCAGGGTGCCTTCTTCTCCTCAGTTTGTGGTAGCCCCTTCGGTTTAGGTTTCTGCTCCTTGGTACTGATGGTAGATTTGTATGTGTGCAGCCTTTCTCCGTCCTGGCGACGGTCGAGACGGATGGTTTCCGGAGGGGTTCTTGGGTTATTGATGCTTGATTGGTTTGGCCGGGGGTGCATCCTGTGTTGTCCTGTTGCGCTTTTTGCCGTTACCTGCTTACCGTGTCTGGGGATGCGCTTTGGTTTGATCCGGTTCCCCTCGTTCCCTGTTTCAGGGTTTGGGTCTCCCAGGTCGTCCGCAGAGTTTTTCAGTCTTCCAGCCTGTGGTCTGTCTTTACGCCCGTGCTGTTCGGACGTTTGCAGCTTTTGCTGCTGTGTTGGTGACATCTAGGGCTCTTTTTGGGCGCAGGGAATTGAGGGTCGCACAGGTTCTTGGCCGCCCCTTCTTTATGCGCGTCTGCTCCTGTGCGTTCTTGTTGCCTTGGGTCGCAGGTTGCATCCTGTTGTCTCTGCTTTGCGGAGTTTGTGGCGGCCGCCTCCCGGGTTAGCCCTTTCTTTTCCTTCTCTTTGAGTATGAAGCTCCAGGGAGCCGTAGGGGATCCCCACAGAAAACCAGCGTTGAATGTAATAAAACACCATTTTCTGGGTGAGCCCCGGAGGCTCTCTGGCAACCCTCCCTCCCACCGGTCGGCGTTTGTTTCCGCATTGGTTGAAGCTTAGCTTCCGAACTGAAGCTTGGCAGCCGGCGCGGTAGGTCCGGGGCTTCCCCCTTCCCCTCTCGGGGCAGGGAGGGCTGCGCGGACGATCGGCACGGCAGTAAAGTGTGATGTTTGCTTGTTTCCTTGGGATTGTAGGGAGTTTCTACCTATCTGTTCATTTTTTTTGTTTTAGCTTCTTACCATGTGGAGTTTGTTTTGTTATGCCTACCTTTCTGGGTGCCTAATCCCAGTCAATGGCAGATAAGGAAAACCCCAAACCACAAGGGGGTTTTCCAGGGCCGTTGCTCCTTGAAACCCCCTCTGAAGGGGCCAGGTTCTGGAGCTGGTCCCTGGTAGGTCTGAACTCCATAGCTAATGTCCCGGTCTAATATAACATACATTAGCCCGATAAGCTCCAGGAGTCGTAGGGGCTCCCCTCAGAAAACCTTACTTTGGCATCTTCCTCCATGATGATGACGTTTTCAACAATAACAGCAGCACAAGAATAGTCATTGCCTTAGAATGCAACTGACTCGTCGAACTCTTCGCAAACTACCCTGACTTTCCTCACCCAATCTTTGTCCACCACGAGACCGTGGAACAATATGTAGGCCTCACCGCCCTGAAGAGAATACATTGACCCGAAATTCAATCTCAAGAAAGGACAAATGCCCTTCTTGGACAAATATGAAGACCCGATAGGAACTCCAATACCACCGCTGTCATTTGGGAAGTACATGCGCATACCTCCCTTCCAAGGCACCACCAAGCAACAGTGAACTTACCTCTCACCATCCAATAGGGAAGACGCCTCCTCCAAGCCAGACAAAACACCTCAAGTAAACCATGACGACATCGCACCGCCTCACCACTAGCCTCCTGCCGCTTAAGAAGAACTCAAGCTACAGGCTTTGACCGAAAAAACATCTCCAATCTGGGGTGGAAAGGCCACCGAACTTTCAAGCCTCCTCTCTCCACATCCAGATCCTCTTCCAAGAATTTCACCACCCCATCCTTCTTCCTCCCACATCTTCTCCAAGCTCTTTGGACATCAAAGCTCAAAATACACCAAAACCCGCACCCGGTGGTGGTGCACCACCACCAGGTGCGCTGCTCTGGAGGCCTGTCATGGTAAAACAAAACATCACATCCAGAAATACAAGTTTCATATCCTGTATAACAATGCTTTATTCCAGTAAACTGTCACAATATTGTATTTCATGTAGAGAATCATACATTTTTCCCCACAAAACCACTTTAAAATAATTTTCAACAAATGTATAAAATATACTAAAATTGTTTTTTTTTCACAAAATATTCTTGTAAAATAGGGGTGCGTCTTTTACGCCGGTAAATACGGTAACTCAGTAAAGACAACTGATTTATTTCTGCAATAACTCGCTTGGAAAAATATGCATCTACTGAGGCTTGAAAATTCCCTGAAGTTGTAAAGCAATGTTGTATGTTGCCATTGCCTGATTACAGGATTTGATTTGCAAGGCCAGAGTGAGTTCTAAGGCCAGAAGAGCTGCCAAACTAAAGAGCTCAGAAAAAATGATTAATCACTGGAATGCACCAACCGAGAAAACTCGGTCAGTGGGAAACTGCGTATCCATTCGTATCGTATCCATTCAAAATGTGTGCGCGGTTGGTTGTGTACGAAATGGACTCTTAGGACCTTAGTGAGAGGCAGCCATCTTGGAAAAAAATTCCCAGAATGCCCTAGGGCTGCTGGCTGGGTTAGTACTGAGTGAGCAACCATGGGTGGCACACACACCTCTGGCTCCCAAACACCTGTCCGATGCAGTGTTGAAAGATCGAGCTCTGTTGGTGAAATTCAAACCTTATTGTTTGAAGAACATAAGGGTCATGATATTGGTGAAGCTAGGGCCAATAAGGACCTAACACAAATGTCGGATGCAAGTGATACATCACCTATGAGGATGATACAGTGAGCATATCCAGTTGTAGCTCTGAGCGCCACCCTTACCCACCTATGCCATTTTCAATTTATATAGATAATACATAGATGAATCATTTTCTGTGTTCAGTGATGATGCATCTGATACATATAGTATAGATGAACAGTGTTAGTGGCTTCCATGGTGGTGTTTTCCATAGATATTTTCAACAATAGCTGAATCTCTTCCAGACTGACACTCTTTGAGGCTGGTTGAATCTCTTCCAGAATGCTTGAATCTCTTTTAGATTGAAGGACACTCTTCGAGGGTGGCTGAATCTCTTCCTGTGTGGGACCTTACAAAGCGATCTTTTCAAGACTACCTTACAAATTGATCTTTTCCTATAATCTTTTCAATACTACCTAATGCTTTACAAGCTTGGCTTCATACCACCTACAAGTACTAAAGCCAAGGTTGTCCATGAGTGCGTTATTTGCAAGCACACAGAACGAATAAGCAGTAAGTGAAAATCTACCTGTACCTGGGGCAATGAGAGCGAAGTCACACTGTGTACCATGGACTACTTCGTTGATTATTACTCACTTTTGAAGTACTGAGTGTGTAATACAGTGTGTTACTGTGTAAATAGTGTGTGAAACTGTACATATTGTAATTTTAGTGAATTTTTAACAAATAATATTGCGACAATAAACATTTATTGTGGATACATTACCGACACATTTATCACAGTTCCATGGAACATTATGAACGTTCTACTGTATACATATTGTAAAGGACACAAATATGCATCATATACGATAAAAGAAACAAATAAAACCGCATTGGAAATACATAGAACAAATAATATAAAATATATTTGAGGCAACACGCGGTGCTTGAATGGCCCACGCGACAGTGTCTGGGAGCTTCACGCATGGGCGTCCAGCCCCTGATGACGTCACAGCGCACCTTGTCCATGTCCTCACGGCCAAATTAAGGGAATTTGACATTTATTTTTACATAAGACATGTTCAGGAAAGAGAATTCATCATTTTAATAAGAAAAAAATTATTTTGGGGAACACTTGATTTCATGCGCACAGGAGGAATTTCTCAATAAACTCGGCGCATCACAGTGGTTAAGGAAAACTGAAAGGCATCTCTTTGGGGGATACATAATGATTAGCTTCCTGTCTCTAACAGGTTACATTTGAACCCATATCTTACTCACAAATACTCTACATTATTTAGATATCATTTCATAAACCACAAAACGAGTACCTACCGGAAGCCATCAGCTATAGGTTTGTCTGGTTTATGTTTGCGTGTAGTGATGGCTGAGCAAGTTTCCACTCTGGTAGGGCACTTGTATTTGTTGACAACCTGCTCCACACTGAGAGACTCTACTAAGTCTATTTCATCCATGGCACCATCCACATCTTGCTTGTTGGCTAGTCTGAAATTAAACACTTCTCTACATTAGTATCCTTATAAATTGTCATTGTGTTTTTTTATTTAGTGATGTAGCTAGCCAACACATCTTACAAAGCTAAATGGCAAAAATTTGTCTTTGAGAGATTATAAAGATAACCTTTCTGAGCAGTAAGCTTGGTTACTCTCAAAGGCAAACTTCTTTTTGGTTCCATTAGAATAGGTCAGACAGTTGGGGCAGGTAGATATTCCACCCTGTTACAGCAGTAATATTCTTAAACTGTCATCATTGCTGTGTCATACTGGTGCATTTAGGTACAGAGCAGCACTTGATTTCCGAACTTTAGTTATCCGAAACTTCCAGTTTCTCGATTGGGGTTGGGGAGTCATGCTACACGAACAAAGTTCGGGTAGGAAGGGATCTGCCAAACCTCGCGCCAGCCCGTGGTGGGGAGATGGTTCAGTTTGCCCACCTGATTGTGTTAGGCGCCACCACTCAATAGAGTGCCTTCTACCCTGTGACTTCCCAGATTCACAGCCTATTATTGCTATTATTTTGATTTGTCACGAGGCTAGAGTGTTCATTCTGTGATTTTATTTTACATAACTGCACAATCAAGGAACATCTGTGCAACATGTCGGCTAAAAATGCACGCATTGCGTCAGTGATGGCTGACTGGTGGGTGGATGGATGGATGGATGGGGGGAGCTTAGGTGGGAGGCAGTATATGAGAGAGGGGGAGAATTAGTGGGAATGAGAGGGAGGGGGAGGTAAGAAGAGATGATAGGAGGTAGGCAGGAAGGGAGGAAAGTTGTGAGGGAGGATGGGAGAATTAGGGAGGGATGGATGGATGTTGAGTTGAACTGCGTGACCTTTGAGAGTATGGGATGTAGGGGTGGGGAGTGGTTTGTCGGTGGTGGGGGAGAGACCGGCTCACTCCCGAAGATAAGCCTAACACACTCGGCCTAGGCTGGCTGGCCTGGGCCGGCTGGCCTGAGCTGGCTGGCCTGGGCCTTCCGGCCTGGGCTGGCTGGCAGGTTAATAATCAGCTAGGAACAATTAAGGACTTTTATAAAGCGGATCAGGACTTCACTTATTGGCGAGTACAAACAAAATACGGTCGCATTTATGCTATGAACCTGTCTATTTCTTCCCCTACAGTTTTTTCATAAATTTTTTGGAAAAATTTCTTTTTACATTTCTAGTTTATTTTTTCCCTCTATTTCTCCTTTACGAACTTAAATGATAACCGACGGGTCTCGTCTCCAAGGGGTTCGGAAACCAAGTGGTGCTCTGTATTCGATATGATCACTATGTACAAAATAGTAACAGGAATCAATAAAATTGATAGGGAAGAATTCCTGAGACCCGGTACTTCAAGAACAAGAGGTCATAGATTTAACCCTTGTGTGGCTCTGGGCTATTAAGCATTTGTCACCCACAGGCGCCTACCAAAAAAAACCAGCGTTGAATGTAATGAAACGCCATTTTCTGGGTGTGCCCCGGAGGCTCCCTGGAGCTTATCGGACTAATGTATGTCCCAGAAAAACTGGAGAGGAACGTGCCAAGAAGTGACCTGGAGGTCCAGGGCCACCATCCAGGCACCCGGCCCCAACAGAATCCGAACAGGAGACAGCAGTCCTCCGAGGAGGGCATAGGATCCAGGGCGCAGACTGAAGAAGTCCAGAAGAACTGCAGACGGGAAAAGCTCATGACTGCAAAGAGCAGACGAAGAGCAAACCCCAGAAGGATGGGGCGGATCGACCACGTCCCACACACCCACGAAGAGGAAATTACGAAGCGCAGGGGAAGAAGCCCACCCCGCCAGCTCTGAACCCCCCCAAGGGGGAGAAGCCGTCCTCCGACGCCAGCAGAGGCCGGAAGACAACCCAAAGCGCCCACCAACAGCGGGACCATGCGAGAGGCAACAGAGCAAGCTGCTCCCCCAGCGCCCAGTCAACAGAGAAGGGAACAGAACCCCTTCCGAAAGAAAAAGTACACTACCTAAGTCATGATGAGAGACTACGGGAATGAAACCACACTTCGCTGGAAGACGAAGAGTGAGGGGGGACCTGATCACCACATTCAAGATTCCCAAGGGAAACGACAGGGTTGATAAGGACAGGCTATGTAACAAGGGGCACACGCACTAGGGGACACAGGTGGAAACTGAGTACCCAAAAGAGCCACAGAGATAGTAGAAAGTTTTTTTTTTTTTTTTTTGTGTGTCAGAATGGTAACGGGAAAGCACTAGGAAGTAATGTGGTGACTCAACACACACATAACGAGGCTGACCCCCATACAATGTCACATGTAGACATGATAGAGCCCAATAGGCACAGGAACCTATACACCTGTTGATAGACGGTTGAGAGGTGGGACCAAAAAGCCAGAGCTCAACCACCGCAAGCACAACTAGGTGAGGACATATATTGTAAAAGTACAGGTCGCCGACTAGTGGGCAGAGAGCACCACGCCGGCCAGGCAAAGAAGGCACAAAACTGCATCAAAAGGCCCACCTCGACAGCAAAACCGCAAAGTCCCAGCACAACTACAACATGTGCCAAGACCCATAAAGATCAGTCTGCAAGCCAGGAAGACCCCGGAACCCCAAAAGGCAGAACCGGGTCACACAAGGAAACAAAGTCCCCTGAACCCACAAAAGGGGGGCCCAAGAGGAAGAAACCTCCAGAACGAAACCAAGGAACCCACAGGAACCCAGAATCGAACCAGGGGGAGCCCAAACCACCACATTTTGCCGGCGGAGAACACCACTGAAAGGCAAAGCACAGCCCCCAGCAGAACCCCCTGGGAAAACGGTCCCAACAGACCGAAAACCGAGGGACAAGGTGTGGGAGCAAGCATACCAGCCAGGGGCACTGAGCCTAAACCCAAAGGCTCAGACCCAAAACAGAAAAATTGGAAAAACCCGGTGAAAAATCAACACCCAAACATTCCCAGAGGAACAGGCAATGGCAAGAAAACACCAGAAAAACAAAGAAACGACAACAGGAGAACAAAAACCCTGAAAAAAAAAATGAAAACTCACCCGAGACGCTCGCTCGCACACCCAGACGCATGTAAACAAACCGCAACGCCGCCCTGGTGGCCACGCCGTGAAACCGGCAGACGAAAATGGCCGCCAGCAGGGGCTGTGACTGACGCTAAATACACAAAAACACTGCCAGCAAATGTGGGAAGCTAGCAGACTGGATGGGCGAAAAACGCCGTCCAACAGCAGAAAAACCCCGGAAAAGCAAAACCGCCCCAGAACTGCTAGCAGGCATCCCCCACAGCCCCGGGAACCAACAACAGAGGCCCCGGGGCAGAGCCGTCCTCCAAGCCCTCTGCCCTTAAAGAAAAGCAAGAGTCCATGGGAAAGGCAACAAGAAAGGGCCGCTGGTAAGACCCAGAAGCCTTGGCAGGATGCACAGGCTCAAACCTCCATCCCCAACCCGAACGGGGCAGCCCCCGAAAACCGCCCGAGTCTCTGCTGCTACTAAACCCCGCAGACAGTCTGGAGCCGGGAACATGGAGGGAAAGGGGCGAACAGCACCTAACCAAACGGGGCGGCCTCGGGGCATCCGAGTGGGAAACCAACCTAGCATGTTGCAGCAACCTAACCAAGCTTGCAACACGGATGCCGCCTGTACTCTGAACAGTAATAACATCAGGAGAGTACTGGAGAACAAGCAGAGAATCTCTCGTAAGACTCTGGGTCAAGGTGTCAGTGACCCAACGGCAGCATGACAAAGGTAAAAATGGCGACTGTCACCCGGAGACAAGGGAACAGCAACCAACGATCCCGTACAAGACGGGTTGGAACCCGGAAAACACATTCAATGGTCCCCCGAGCCCAGACAGGGGTTTCCAGGGCCCGTAGGGTAACAAGTACCGGAAGCCCGTCAAGGTGTTGCTAACCGGTTAAGAAACCCAAACATAACAAGAGGGTAGATTATAGCACTGAAAACCCCTGAGACGTGTACAATCACGGGGGCCTAGCAGAGGGCCGCCAAACACTACCAGTGGAACTATAACCACCTTAGGTAGACCCCCACCAGGCATGAAAAATTAAAAACAAAAGAAAAACCCCGCAAAAGTACACCGTCTCCAGAGGCAACAGAAACCGGCCGCCGCTTAGGTGGCAGGATGTGCAACACCTTGATGCCCTAACCAGCACAATACCAATCCCTACCCAGGACCAAACAAGGGCCCCAAGCCCCAGCTGGCCCCAAGGGCGAGGTAAATGCCGAGCAGCAAGAACCTCTACGGGAATGGTTCCCAAACGCCCCAGGGAAGATAACCCTGTTACGCAAGGGCAGTACTCACAGGGAGCTTAGGAAAGTCAGCCACTAAGCACATGCAGCCCCGGCACTGATGAGGTACTCCTGGCCACCGCACAACACAACACACGGCAGTGAACGCCACACAAGGCAAACACCGCCTAGGAAACTGAGGACAGAGAAGCATCAATCCCGGTTGACATTAGCGAACGAACTGGAGCTTGGCAGCCGGCGTGGTAGGTCCGGGGCTCCCCCCTCCCCCTCCCGGGGCGGGGAGGGCAGCGCGGACGATCGGCGCGGCAGTAAAGTGTGATGTTTGCTTGTTTGCTTGTTTCCTTGTGATTGTAGGGAGTTTCTACCTCTATGTTCGGTTTTTGTTTTAGTTTTTACCATGTGGGGTTTGTTTTGTTAAGCCTACCTTTCTGGGTGCCTAACCCCGGTCGATGGCAGATAAGGAAAACCCCAACCACAAGGGGTTTTCCAGGGCCATTGCTCCCTGAAACCTCTCTAAAGGGGCCAGGTTCTGGCGCTGGTCCCTGGTAGGTCTGAACTCCTTAGCTAATGTCCCGGTCTAATATAACATACATTAGCCCGATAAGCTCCAGGGAGCCATAGGGGCTCCCCACAGAAAAGTGTTTTTCCATCTTGTTGACATGAGCATATTGAACTACTATAATATGTATCTGGTGAAAACTGGACGTAAACCTGTTTTCCATTCATTTGCTTTTATACTTGCAACAC